GGTAGGTGTGTCAAACGTTCAACGACACTGTCATAACCATCATCTACAGCATAAGATCAGTGTTCCCGGCAAAGTATACGGGAAGCAAACTATCGTGAAGGCAAGTGCGCACCCGAAATAATTGAAAATGTATGTATCTAAGAACGGGTGAACCTATTGCAGTTATGAAAATCTAGAATTCGAAATGGTGCGGACAGCAGCAATGTAGTGTCGAACAACTATAGTTCAAATGAACAAGCAAATCGCCGTATCTTGTGCCCTACATCATACCGCGAGCAAATGTTTTGAAATCGGCCAAAAGAATCAAAAACAGAAGAATGGACCTGGTGGAAAACGCCACTGCATATATATATTTATACATATATATATATATATATATATCACAAACCAAGTACGAGCTATTGTGGGAAGAATATGCATCCTTGGCAATCAGGGAAGGATGGAAAGATGAAGAGCTGCTGACAATCCCTAAAAAGAAGCACTAGAGAAAAAACATACACTTCTACAAATAAACACAGGAACGAAAATGAACAGTAAACGAGGCTACCCGATCATAGAAGAACCAACGCACGCTGATTTCTGATATTCCACGGAGACAGAAAAGCAGCTGTTTAGCGCTCAATGAATATGCAGTGCCCCACATCAGAAGCACGATGTAATTGCAACAAAAATGACGTCGAAAGGTCACCCGGGCAACAAAAAACGCACTTGACTTTGTTCAGGTCATAAGGTCGTGTTTGGCATTTCAACCGACAGGCTTTCAAACTTGGAGTGTAAGAAAGAGATTGAAGCACGTTGGTATTTTAGTAAAAAGCTGCAAAAAGACTATCTGCATAACAGCCTAGTTCAAAAATCACCCAAGAGAGAGTTACCGAAAGTTGAGAACTTCTTAGTTGGACCAACTTTGGATAGCATGTCTTTCATGCCGAAAAGTGCATCAAACATCTTATTAAGGTCATCGTATTGGCTACCACATCGACCTCTTGCTGCCTCTGATCGTGTACCGTCGGTGGTCTTAGAATCAGTAAAACTGTTTTTGCCTTTGTGGGTACTGCTGAGGGTCATTTGACGGAAGGGTATGTGCTTGAATGCCCAAATGCACTGTATCTATAGCACCCTTTAGCGAAGTTCCCACGCCTTATACCAACGAATTGTGAGGAAATTGTGAGGATATGCCACTGCGCTATCGGGATAAACTAATTCTGGGGCTAGATTTGGTGGCCATCGTGGGTGTTACTCGAGATGCGAGGATAAAAGCAAAGGTTAGTTCCAGTTGTGTACCATCCACAGCTTGTTTCTATGCGGCAGTATGTTTAAAAATGATTAGCATCGTCCGATTACACAGTGTTCAGCTTCAGAAAAATGTCGATGCAATCAACACCAGCCGCTGGTTTTCTGCAGTTCTTACTATTTACCATTTGCCGTGCAGTATCATAGTGCCATGGTGATGTCTCCTCAGTAAGGACAACGCTTCTACAAACTAGTTGCCACGCTCGCTGAACCGATCAAAAACCATCTGATCACCAACCAACAGACGCATTCACATCATAATAATCAGACATACTGCCAACAGTAAGTAAGCTGCAAAGCAGCAGCGAAAAAATGTACTGCACATCTCTTCCCAGAAACGGGAAGTCCCGTATGTGGCCTGAGCCTTAACGCTATTGCAGGTCTAGACGGTGCTTGACCACCCGATGTGAATCACCTGGATGAAGGACGGGTGCAGCCATACCCTGTTTAAGTGCAGCGGAACTGAGACGTCTTCAGGTGTTCGACATTCGTTGTCTCAGAACCATAGCTCGTGTGGGCTGGTGTCGGCGAATCCGTAACGAGGCAGTTGGAAAACGCGTTTTCGGTTGGGCAACAGCTACTTCCATTGAAGAATGTGTCCAACACCAGAAGCTGCGTTGGTTGGGACATGTGTTACATATGCCGAACCATCGTTTGTCAAAGAGAGTGCTGTTTTTTCATGCTCAATTCACAGTGGCATAAACAGAGAGGTGTCCAACCCTTGACTTGGCAGAGGAGTATGAACGTGGTTACGAAACGCTTGGGTGCTGTCGGTGCTACTCGACTTTCAGGATGGGGACCACGTGGTCCTAACTGTGCCTGGCTGGAGACACTACAAGATATGGCTACCAACCGATGACAGTAGCGTTCTTGTTGTCAGTTTGTATCCAGATTGCCCGAATAAGTGTCTGGAGGTGTGGGCACCTCGGAATGATTGTAGTAAGCTTGGGATAAGTCCCTTCCTCGTCCACCCTTATTCTTTTCTTCACAATAAGGCTTCCAAATAAATCATGGTTGTACGGCAGTGAAACATCAGTGTTGAACACTGATGTCGTGCTGTCGACGATGATGATGATGCAATTTACTCACACCAATGACCAGTCATTTTTAGCTGAATGATGTATTCTGAAGATGATTCATAGTATAAATAGAACAGCCCTATAGTGCTTCTCGGCTTTTTACAGGTCGACTCCGCTTGCAGGACTGATAAGAAAAATGGTGTGCCACAGAAAGCTAGTCACCCTGACTATGGAAAGATGCAAGAGTTAGACCAGCACGATGGATCTCGGAGGTGACTGTTGCAATGGAGTAGTGTAACTCACATCACCCGGTTTCAGGGATTGACTTGGAAGATCTTCCAGAAAGTTGATGCTGTGATAATGGTTATTATGGTAACACTATGGGAGTCAGTATCTCATTTGTGAGTATGCTCACTGCAATATTGTCACGGACTTCCGAAATTGAACAACTGGGGCATCGAACTCCTACCCAGGGATACTAAGCGTGGAGGAATTTCAGACTGCGACAGGACAAAACTGAGTACACGTTCTGGAGATGTGAGTGATGAAATCAGGGCATGGATCTCCAAGGTTCTAAGGTGTGTTGGTTGTGGCACCAAAAAGGAATATTAATTGATGGCAAGGGTTGCGTGTAGCAAGCTACAGTAAGAGCTGCGTTGCTGTGTGGTCGCAATACATGATATCTGCGAAGAGATGATGTGAGGTGTCTTCAGGTTTTTTTTATACCATAGACATCCCAGAAGAGCTGCTGGTGTCGGATGGGGTCAACGAATTCGTAACGCGGTGATCCGAAAACGGGCATTTGTTCGTGCAGCAGGTGCGCTGACCGCGGAAAACACCCAGATCCATCATCTGTGATGGTTCAACCATGTGCTGTGCATACCGAAATAGAAACAAGTGTCGTTATCCGTGCTTCCATCCTTAGAGGTGGACAACGTGCAAATTTGCAGGAGGATGTGAAGTGGATTACGAAGAGTTTGGGTATTGTTGGTGCATTTCGTCTTCCAGAATAGGGGCTCATGATCTCCCCACGTCAGGGTGGATCCATTGCAGGAAATGGGGGCGGATCGATGTCAGTGGTGCTTGTGCTGATTGACTGTGCGCGTGAGATAGGCCAGCACCAGATCCTTCCCTTACACCTTTCACTTCTGTTCATTCTAAGGTTTTAAATATAATTAGATTAACGTTGTGGTTGTGCAACAGTGGAGCATCTGTATCGATTCTGATGCTGACGATGGTGAAGATGTACAGATCATGATCTCAATGGACAAAGCTGCATTCATCATTGATTCGAAAACAGTCATGGGGAAAAACAGTAAGCAAAGGTTCATAAATGTGTTGTACGGTCAACTGAGACGGATTATAACCCAAGCCAGCTGTCAATTTTGTAAAAAGCACCACGGATTGCATCCCAAGTAACAAGGGGCATCCCACAGACTAAAAATAGTAATCGAAAAATAGTTTCGGCTGTTGCAGTAATCAACTTTCTTTCAGACAGAAACCAAACATGAATCTACATCTGTCCATTGAACTTAATAGATAAATGAGCCGTCTCTTGTTCTGCACTTCTCGATGAACCTTATGAAAACTAACAGAATTCTCATAGAACTGCTTTCGCGTCCCTATCACAGTACTGTACTGTATTCTCTTCGTTCTATGATGTACCAGCCGATGAGAGTCTGTGGATGACCTCCTGTGATAGCTTTAGTTGAGAAGCATTGTTATCGGAGGAAGGACGAAGAGGACACCTGTTTGGCCATTGATTCAAGCGTAAACTCTTTACTACTTCCTCACGGCATCACCGCTTCCGAATACAGCAAATGAGTTTCATCACTAGCCAGGAAAGTTGTACATCCGTATACAGAAAAGGGAGAGAGAGAAGAGTATCGCCGATCTTCTCAGTGCACCGCAAACTCCAAAATTACTTTCCATGAATTTCATTTGTTCGTAGCTACGAAATTTTCAACTTCTTCAGGCTAATCACAATGGATTCTGTCAGGTTCCAAATTACTTCGAATTTTTATGGTACTTGAGAAGTGATCTTACGAGGAAAAAGGAGTCAAAATGTGTACCATTTGCTTTGGGATAACAACTGCCATCTGGAACTAAACCTACTGTTTTGCTGTTTTTTCATATCTACAGTTTACAGGAATGTTCAGGAGAGTAAAACGAGATCCGAGAGTACAATCTTCTAAGAAAAATGGCATGAAATAACCCAGCAAACGATGAAGCTATACTGGCCTGGTGAAGGCGCCAGAAGGAGAGGCATTTTTACAAAGTATACAGTCCTAAACGACTATCACGTAACTGATGCTGGTTTATGTGCAACAAATCACAAAGGAAACTGCGATTATGCTCGTCAAGGGACCATGCACATTCTAAGAAAAACCCAAACTAACAAAGGAAAACAGGAAGACCAGAAGGAAGTGACCGACCGTCTGAACAGACATGAACCAGACTTCAAAACTCATACATTCACGTCATCCCACAAGCGTTGGCTTGATCGTCGTTGCACTGTACTTCTACATTTGGTTTACGCCTAGGAAGAGGTGGGTGGAGGTGTGAGCAGACTATGCAGGTGCTGGCACGTTTATCAAGTGCGGCCTAAGTATTCTAGATGGTAACAGGTATTTCTGTTGGATGAGTCAACATAGCCCATTGCTATGCTATTATCACGTGATAAGGGGCCAGTTGGAATTGGCAACCTGGAATAATCACATCGGTCCAGGTAAGCGTCTGCTCCTCAGGAAGCGGTAGTTTTTTATGAAGAGTTTACCAAGTATCAGGCTAGCACTAATAAAACGCGGACTTCAGCACGTTTGATTCCATTGATTTTTATTCCAAAGGCTTTCTTTTTTCCATTGGAAGGTTTTATTCACATTAATTGTAAGGGAGTGAAGCAACAGCGTTTTCATCTGGTCTTGCTGGGGATGGTGATGATTCCAAGGGTCCGGTTGAGATGCAGCGCTCCTGCGCAGAGAAACTAGCAGCCGTATATTATATTACATTGTACTACACAGTTTTTGATTCAATAGAATCGGCAAGCTGTCCAAAGGTCAAGTAAGATGATTCAGTCCTTGGTTTTGGACAGAATCGCGCTTCGTAGTGTTTCAGACACTGAAATCCGAGATTACTGACAGTCAGCGAACAAAACGCAGTAATCTCAAATACTTGAAGAAGAGGTTCAGAGTTTCCATGGCTGAAGGATAAGTAGTCCTGTGTCATGTATAAGTGAGAGGAAGTCGAACTACTGAATAGTTGTTTTTGACCACACGGCTAAGTGTTTAACCACCAGTCAGAAGGTCGCGAGTTCAAAACTCTGAGTTTGGTGAGATGCACAACGTTGGTGATCGCCAAAAAGGACGGAGCAACTGTACAGCGATTCTCAGCTTTCCAGGATAGAGTGGCTTCACAGACGGGAGGAAATCTAGAATGAAAAGCACCAAATTTCATACTACCACTAATCAAGGTAGTTAGCCCAAGCTAACCTTTAATTCAACCTGAGCAACCGGTTGGCCTCAATTACTGCCCCTGCTTTTTCGAACCCCCATCCTCCTCACATTAACAAGAAGTTACATTTTGACCTTTCAAACAGACAAAACTGGTCTAATTGGCAATTGAACTGCACTTTACAGCTTGGAGCATATCTGAAATCGTTGTGAATCAGCAATCCGTCTCGAGAACGAGTTTTCGTTACAGCGGGGTTTTCACCTAATACAATCTTGAATCAAAGCTACGACGCTGTTACTACCTTCCCCGTTGATTACCATTTAGGGCTTGTGTATCATAAGGGATCTCTACTTGATGGTTATATTTGATTAGCAAACCCTAAGCCAAACGAGTGAGAAGAGGTACAGTGGGAACTCTTGATAGTACAGGCTGTTTTTTATATATATTTCAGCTATGTCTCTCAGCTGAGCAGTCAAGGAAATGGAAGAAGCTGCTGAGCAATTCGAGAAACATTTCGAAGAGCAGCTAGATGCAGAAGACGATAATCTGTGTTCAACACCTGGAACAAGAAACAGAAGTCAGCACGCTGAAGGAGAAAGTTCGGCAAACAATTCCGATATCGAAGGAGGAACACCCATTCAAGGAAGTGCGCATCTAGATGAGGATGAAGATGAATCTTCGACAGGTAAATTGTATGTTGAAGCAGAGTCCTTCAGAGATGCTGATAATACACAAAAACTACAAGAATCTTTGAACAAGCAGACACATATGGAGCCACCTCCCGCGTCGCTTGACCGCAGTGAAGCTGATGATGACTTGATAACTAATAGCTCCAAGCCTGGTACATCAGCCGAACAAAATGAGCCACAGCAGACAACAGGAAGACCAGACGTCGAGTCAGATGATTTCAAATACGGCCACGGCGCCGTAGTGGTAAATAAGAACGAGTCCTCCAGCTTGGCAGGTCGTGCGGTTCTAGCGGAGAAATACGAATCCAGGAATCCGACTGCGTCATATGCATTAGATAAGACACATTCCCTCACTGTGCAAGTGGTGTCTGATAATGGAGTGAAAATGGAGTTTTACGGTGTACCAAAGAAGTACTATGCTTCCGAAGTCAGCGTACTTGTGGTTCGAGATACGGCAATAAGATATGGCGAGTTTCAGCTACTTCATAACAATGAAACCGTTGGTCATCTGACCCCATTGGAAGAGCTGGTTGACACTGACGGGGTCGTGCGGTTCACAATGACGTTTACAAAAATCGAGAATGGACGGAAAATACGCCTTGGAAATCGCGAGATCACATTTCAGTCAGGACTCGTCATAAAAGTTTCCTGCAAGAAGGCATTTGTTACAAACGAACAGTACACACTTCAAGACACACTGGAGATAAAGCAATTCAAGGACGAGGAAACTCCAAAGGAGGTAGAGATAAACTGGCTTCCCGCTTCACATCACAAACCATTTTTAGGGGGATATCGTCACAAGCTGACAGATACCAGGTATCATCATGCATCTGCACAAACGAGGCCACTACCAAGACGTCCAACAGGAATCCCCATTTTTTCACGTCAGACACAAACATACAGAATGAAGCACTTCGGTCAATCCACGGTGAATAATATGTCAACACAGTTCTCGAAACCAGGGTTCTACGTTTCAAATGCCAAAGATGTTGTGAGGATCCCGGGGACGTACGAAACTGCAGAGGAGTACTTGGAACGCAGGTTAAGGGATGTGAGTTGCGTTTGTTTTGTTTCAGACAAGCTTTAACTGCCTTTTGATTGCAGGACAGCGAAAGCTCAATCTCTCAGTAACTCAAACATTAAGTACAGTAAATAAGTTAAGGCTCCGAATCAGCACTGGCAGACCCCGTGAAACAATCTTCTGAGTTTATATCAAACTAAACTTATAATGAACAGGATGACTTGTGCTCGGACATTACTGAAGATAATAGTGACCGTTGGGTTTAAACCAGGTTATATACTACTCGGCGCATAACTTAGGAAGCAAGTCAGTAACCTACTTCACTGGCGGCTTTTCCATAACTGAGCAACCTTGAAATTTGCATGTATGTTCCGTTCGCACTGATACCAGTAAGCAAGCAACGCTACAGGGATGTGCGTGCGATGTCTGTATAAAGTAGCTAATTGGTCTCTGCAAACCACAGTGCCATTCCCCTTTTCAGTTGCTTATGGAGGCGCGCAAACTTGCGAACGACGATTGGACGGAACCGGGTGATAACGGCGGACGGTCTAATGTTCTCCTTAGCACTAAGTATACATGTTTCAGTGTGCGAACCTAATTATGGTAGGATGCGCAGATTCAAAATTCATGTGTGACTCGTGGTAAGCAAAAACCAGTGGCCCTAACGCAAGCAACCAGGCTTGACCCTATCTGGGGCAAAATTTATCATAGTCTGCAGTGAACTTGCCGTTCGTGACTATTTGTCCATACGATATTTAAGAGTTGGAACCCTGACCAATTTCAAGTGCATCGATTCAAATGGCAGTTCCGCGGATCGCTTTTCCCCAGATAGGAAAGCTCTCCGAGAGAGCGAAATTTCCGTTATGTCGTGTTTCTAACGTGGGTGCCGTATCACGACGAGCCGAGGTAAACATCCACAACACAACCCCTTGGTACTTTCCCCATAACACACTAAAAATGTGTCATCAACATACTTATGACAACTTCTCAAGTGTATCGGTCCCTTAACTTAACAAGAAACGAACCAAGAGATGGCCACATGCTAAAACCACCTGTTTGGTGATACAGAGTGCCACTGAGCAGGAATTGCATACCCGTGGAGCATCGTAAAAGCTCCTTCAGGTTTGACGCTGGGGTACGCACGAATGGTTCTCTGACATTGCTTGCATTGCATACATGGTCAGTAGTTTCAGGCAGAGCTACAGACATAAAAATCGCGACATTATATACAGAAGACAGACAACCCACGAATAGGATAAATACAGGTGAGAGTGTGGACAGAAGACAACAACCCACGAATAGGATAAATACAGGTGAGAGTGTGGTAAGTACCATTCTTTGCTATATAGCTTTGAAGAGGTTTGAGAATCTTGGATAAATCCTCAGTAATGTTGTGGTAATGGAGGTTATACATAGACCGATTAGGTCGTGACGCCACTCCAGATTTCTGGTGCTCGGCCACAGCGGCGAGCGGATAAGGGTACTCAAAACTAACTTACGTTGTTCAGTGCACCCGCTTCACCATTTCTGTGCCCTTAAGGACGCAAAGAAACTTATTAGGAGGTTTTTACGGCAGAATAAAAGAGACGTGCATGTCAGACATCCGAACTAAGAGAACTTGGTTTAATCCCTGAGAATGGGACAACGGTAGCTCAGGCAAGCTTTCCTCACGATGTCACTATATCTCCATCTGGTATTTAATAATAGTTCAGCTGTAACACCTTTTCGGTGCCTAGCTGGCATGCCACCCAATGGAGGCACGAGGGCTGGGATACTACCAGGTTGCCCAAGCCTAGACAGGGAGAGTCGAGAGGCAGAGGTCGGGTTCGAACCACGGACCTTCTGGTCAGTAATTCGCGCTCCAACCACTGAGCCATCTCGCCCACCTATTATTTAGAAGTCGTAAGTGGATTACTAAGATGTATATTTTTGCCGCTAAGACGGACGTCTGAAGATAAAGTGCCTCTCTGAGCCAAACCTAAGTGTACTTATCAGTTCATTTGGTTCTGTGGAGCAAGTTACTTTGGTGCAATGACGAGAACGTTGTCCCCTGTTTAGGGAGCCGACCGAGCAGATACTGCGGCGGCACGCACCAGGCTGACTCAAGATTTCAATGAACAACCAGAATACCCTACACAACTGAAACAGTGGTGTTCCACATCAATATAAGTCCTGTACATTGAGAACTGCGTACACGTGTACTGTGAGGCCCACTCCACTTGTCCTAGTGCGTATGATTAATCGACTCCCAAGCAAAGAACATGTGCGGTGATGCGACCCCTTGTCCCTTCAATCCCCCTGCAAATAATCGCTAGACAGGGTCTCACAGATGAAAGCCTGTACACGTGCGCACATTGTCTCCACAGTAATACTTGTACTACTGTTTTATTTTTCACCAGTTTACCGTTCGCTTTGTACATGCAAGAGCTTGTAGAAGATACATCGTGAAGGCTGCTTCGCCAAAATGTTAAGTGGAGTTATCTCAAAAGTTGAAGCTATATTCTGCGCTGTATGGAACGGTACACATTAACCACTAATGCTTACTTCTACCTCTTCAACGCATTTTTAGATAATTATCATCCAAAAGTACACTCGGCGCTGGTTGGCCAAAAGACGTGTGAACGAACTGAGACGTCTACGAGACCAATACCTCGACTGGGAACGCCAACACGAACAGGAGCTTAAGGAAAACAAACTCGTGCAAATCAAGTTTGATTTTGAAAGGCGGTTGCATCCGAAGACCAAGGCAGATTTTGACAGACTATTTAACGCATTGGAACAATGGAAACAGGAAGAAGTGTCAAAAATAAATGCCAAATCGTTGACGGTCGCAGAAAGAAAGGCAGCACTCGCCCTTCTGCTAGATGAAGAATCCGAATTGATTGCAGCCATTGGAAGGCATCAACTGTGTGTCTCCGAGAGACAAAATCTACGCGGTCAAATGAATGAAATGCGAAAAGCAGCAGCTCCGATTCGATGGACGTCGGCCATCAATGGTCGCGCTCTAGAAGTCGATACACCGCAAACCTTGAAGGCAAGGGAGTTACTGGATATCGTTACATCACTCAGACTCGAGGATTTAAGGGACGAGGAGAGGTTAGATATACTGTTAACGACCAAAAAAATCGTAACACAATACCAGATCAAAGTTTGTAAAGATTTGGTAAAGTTGATTGATCGCGAGGCAGAGTTAATTGTTAGAGGTGTACGACCTGAACAACTGAGAGGTCTAAGAGAGCGGATCACTAATCAATTCGTGAAGTTTGCCCAAATGCCAGAAGTCAATCCGGAAATCGCGAATTATATCAAGGTGCCCACAGGAGCGAGGGAGAAAATAGCTGAATCACTGAAGGGAGATGTTCACCACTGTTTAGCCTGCGACCGATACCTGAGAAACAGCGCATTTCCACTCAGTGCCAGAGCAAACCGACTGACACCGTGTCTTTCATGTCGCAGAGAGGACAATCGAGCTCGGAAAAGAGTAGACATGGATCCGTACCAAAGAATGTTGGTCGACCTGAGGAAGAGGGAGTTCGAGCTGATAGAAAGAGCCAGGCAAAAAGAATACCAAGACAACAAAGAAGCCGAGCTAGTTCGTTTAGAGAATGGGGAACGCCCTCAACCAGAGACCTTGATCAAAACGGATGGCACGGACGAAAAAGCCCTGAACAGTAATCCGTTCCCATTCCTTGTGGATAAGAGGGATATACAGTTTCTTGTGGATGATGTGTGGGAGCGCCGTTCTATTTTGTCCGGCTGGTTAGATATAAGCGACTTGGTCCTGACACGATGGCGCTTGAATGAACCGTGGGCACCCTGGAACATGATAGTGGTCACCAGAGAAGAAGCTGAGGCCCATGAAGAACTCGGCAATTTCCCATTAGAGTTGGCTTATGCGGATGCCATGTTGAACACTGTCAACCAACGACTGGTCATGGGTAGAAACGCGTTTACCCGTTTAAGAAAGAATGGCATTCAAATGGCCTACGACCAGATACTGAAGGCACGTTTGATGCAGCAACCGGAGAACTCGGCAGAGTGGCTTCGTGAGAAGCGACAAAGACTACCACCCTTAGCGAAGCATCATTATCTGCTCGAGCCATCAGAAGAACGCCATAGACCTGTCTACCAGCCCCCGGAATATATGCTTCCAGCAATCAGGGGCGAAAAGACTTTGGAGGAAGTACAGTCAACCAAACAGTAGACTACCGAGGAAGATCGACAAGATTTTCTCAAACAAATATTGAACAAAATGCCTTCTCATCCAAATGTATCATACAGAGGAAATTGTCACAACTCATGGAGAATAACGTCATCATATTTTGAGTTCACCGTGATTTTGTGTACGTGGCATGGTAGGTGAATCGAGACGAGGGATGGACAGGATACTATGCAAACAGGATGGTCGGCAGTACTTGGTAATTGAGAGAGCGTTGCCAGTCTCAGCCAGTAAAACAGGACTGAAGTATTGCGGTACAAATGAGCCGGAACACCGTCATACACCATAGCTTAAAATCTCCTCACGGGCAGACCTGCTTGCCCCGATACAACCAAAGAATAAATAACACGATGGGTTAAACCCGAAGGATAGTACAGCGGGATAGTTTGTTGACAGTCTTACAACCACTTTTTTTTAATTTTTACTCAAAGTAAATAAGATGGGAATTGATTCGGGAGGGAACTGATGCTAGCCTACCCCAAGCATTCTGAGGTACCCACACCTCCAAGCGCTCAATCACACAATTTGGAAAGAAGCTAACAGCAAGAACGCCACTGACGTCGATTAGCCGCCATTTTTTGCGATTTCTCCATCCGGGCATCGAAGTGGTCACGATCCTTCTCCTGGAAGGCGAACCAACGCCATTCACACTCTTCGCAGTCCCTTTCACATCCTTCTGTCAAGTTACACGTTGCCCACCCCCTAATTTGTGCCATACCTCGAACGTGCTGAGATGGTGATACTCCACACTGCACGTATTGTTTTCGGTACGTTGAACACAGATGAATATGGTTGGTGCCGATCAATGACTATCATTGCATGGAGCGCTATGCTGTCGACAGGCCTGAAGTGTTAAAGTGCGCACGACAATGGATAAAGTAACTACCACTATCAGTCGCTCGCTCACCATCTTTTCCACCTACAAATCAAAGCCCACTCCAATGGGAATTTGACACATGCGTGGAAGGTGCCTCTCCATAATGGCAAACAGGACGCACAGTTCTTAGAAACACTCCAAGACACCCTATCGCAATAGAAATAACTTTGGGACCGGTCCCAAAGTTATTTCTATTGCGATAGGGTGTCTTGGAGTGTTTCTAAGAACTGTGCGTCCTGTTTGCCATTATGGAGAGGCACCTTCCACGCATGTGTCAAATTCCCATTGGAGTGGGCTTTGATTTGTAGGTGGAAAAGATGGTGAGCGAGCGACTGATAGTGGTAGTTACTTTATCCATTGTCGTGCGCACTTTAACACTTCAGGCCTGTCGACAGCATAGCGCTCCATGCAATGATAGTCATTGATCGGCACCAACCATATTCATCTGTGTTCAACGTACCGAAAACAATACGTGCAGTGTGGAGTATCACCATCTCAGCACGTTCGAGGTATGGCACAAATTAGGGGGTGGGCAACGTGTAACTTGACAGAAGGATGTGAAAGGGACTGCGAAGAGTGTGAATGGCGTTGGTTCGCCTTCCAGGAGAAGGATCGTGACCACTTCGATGCCCGGATGGAGAAATCGCAAAAAATGGCGGCTAATCGACGTCAGTGGCGTTCTTGCTGTTAGCTTCTTTCCAAATTGTGTGATTGAGCGCTTGGAGGTGTGGGTACCTCAGAATGCTTGGGGTAGGCTAGCATCAGTTCCCTCCCGAATCAATTCCCATCTTATTTACTTTGAGTAAAAATTAAAAAAAAGTGGTTGTAAGGCAGTAAGACTTCAGTATCAACACTTGTTTTGCTGCTTATGATGATGATGAGCATGGAGGGTAGCGGTAGCATATTTTGTTCACTTAAATTCTGCTAACTAAATTATGAAACTGCTCGTCGGCAACTTATTCAATTTGATCACTTGTGAATGATTCGAAGACTTTCCGAATAGCCGTGAAGCTTCGCGTAGCATCTGAAAGTTCCGAGAAGCGGGCTTTGATTCTAACTTCTGTCAGTGGTGCTGACGTGGGACACCCAACGATCAAGGTTTGAGTAATCAAACGGAAGTGTGAAAGTTGGGACAGCTATTCAAAAAGTACAGGTTTACGGCTAATGACTAGGGGAGCAAAGTTGTTCCCTTTCGAGAGTACTGTTGATTGGTGTGGATTGAGGGGAGTTCAAAAGAGAGCACTGTACAAGTGGGATGGCAAATTGTTTGCCTTGCACAATGAGCGACGGAAAGGACTTTTAACGAGCAATACTAGTGGGGAATTCGCTTTAAAGCTAAAACGACATGCGGTTATGTAATGCGACCGAACTGAGCTTGGTCGTCCAAAAATAAAATAAGAAGCACTGGGAGAAAGTTGTTCCTCAGATGAGTGATAAGCATCTAAGAAGCAACTGTGAAACATTCCGAAAAAAATGACTAGCGGAGAAGTAAATAACCGTAATCCGAAAGACACTCAGGTGGATTTCAAACGGTGCAAAAGCAATCGAGTGAGCATCGCACGATTGTGACAGGCCGAGACGCCAAACCAGTTGCTTATGTAGAAATGAGGTTAACATTTTGAAGTTTCATATCCATAAAGTTGTTTGTACAAACTCGGCATAATGATGACCTTAGGGCTATCCGCTGATGATTACAATATTAACCGTTCGGGTGCCCTAAACTGTCACCCGTCAACAACAGCACGTATATTTTTAGTAACATGGACGGGCTGATGCATACTGTTTCAGCCTGAGAGAATATAGCAGTTATATTAATCGCTCAGTTGTAACACCCTTTCTGTGTCTAGCTGCCATATCAACCAAAGGAAGCATGACGGCTGAGATTGTCCAACCCTAGATAGAAGCAGTTGAGATGATGCGGTTGGGTTCGAATAACGGACCTACCGGTCGGTAAGTTGGGCATAGAGAACAAGAAAAAGGCGAAAGTGAAAAGGCATCAATGTATGTACATCACAACGGACAATGGGTGTACAAAAATAACTCGTTATCTAAAGTAAACATTTGACCATCGACAAGTGAACTGTCGTTATTCTCATAGAAAGTTTCGCAGAGTGACGGGACGTCGGACAGCATTGGAGTACCCTTCTCTGAATCGATAGTAGACGGCTTGGTTAATCAAGCTTCTTTGTTCCACAGTGCAATCACCTGTAGAATACGATGGAATATAGATATGGTGCAAAAATAAATAAACCAACCTTTGGTGGGCGGGACTAGCGGAGTTTGAGCTTTTGCTGGATCCGCCATTGGTCTGCCGAAGAAATCTTTTCTAAGCTGAAACACAAGTTTGCAACATGATACACTGGACTGATTGTGAAGACTGAACACAGAACATGGGTTTTAGAAAAACAATTTTTCATTTTTCAAGCAAAATTCGACCCACAATACGGAAAATGTTAACCATCACAGTGTCTCCATCCAACCTCTACTGTCTATTACTCCAGGTGTTGTTCAGCACGTGCAACCAAAGAAGCTAAGTACAGGTCGACCGCATGTGAGAGACAGACTATGAGATATCGCAACAAGCCACAGCGCGGGATGTTTTGCTGTATGGTTGTGAATTGGCCTGTTCGAGCAGCGGAACTTAGATGTCCCCATGTGTTCGACAATCGTTGTCTCATGACCATAGCTCGTCTGGTTTGGTGTCCGTTGGCGAATCCGTAAAGAGGTACTTTCATTAAGGAACGCAGCACCAGAAGCTGCGTTGGTTTGGCCACGCATTGCGTATGCCGAACCATCGTTTTCCGTTCCCAAATCAGACTGGTGGATGAAGAGAGGTGGCCAAACCTTTACCTGGCAGAGAGGTATGAAAGAGATTGTGAAACATTTTGGTGTTTCCGGTAATACCGCGTGATTTCCACTGCGCCCGGTTGGAGACGCTGCAAGATGTGGCTGCTAGTCAATCTCAATGGCGTGCTTGTTGTCAGTTTCTATCCAGATTGCCTGAATGAGTGTCTGGAGGTGTAGACAACTCGGAATGATTTTGGTAGACCAGCACGAATTCCCACATCCACTTTTATTCTTTTCTCCACAACAAGGCTTTCAGATAAATTATCGTTGCACAGCAGCGAAGTATCGATGTTGGATACTGATGTCCTGCTGTCCCTGATGATGAGAGAACCTCAGAGCTGTATAGTAAGCTAAGGAAACCTAGGTTGAAGCATTTATGAGAACCTTTTATATACTATTCTAACAACATATGCTCTGTTTACGTTAGGTGTGATAGTTGTATACCAAGTTCCTCATAAGCTCGGTTCCTGAAGACTGCTCAGCTCAATGCTCTTGACGGGACTACACAGAAGTTTTCTAGAGTAAAGTCGTTCTACGCACTCTACAACCGTTGCAAACCAAGAGGTGCAAGCGCACAGCAACATAGAATCCGCTGCTTGCTCACGACCGTGACGAAAAGAAATCGAAGATGACGTAATGCATATACAAGAATCACATTCGCAAGGAAGAGAACATTTAACTCCACGGTGAATCAGACAGCGCACCAGGGTCACAGAACGACTTCATCGCTGATCATATGACATGTGGGTTGCCTGACAAAACCATACGCACCATTCAAAAGCATGCAGGTTAGTTTGTCCAAATGGAGAAATTGGTGCTCAACTGAAACACACTATTATAGTGGCGATAGGGCAAGTGTCTTGCATGCCGAATGATCGACGTTCGAACCTCAGTATGATCGGAGATATGCTGTTTACGTGTTTAGTGCTTAAGCCGCGGCGCACAGTAATTAGAAACGTGGTCCCGGGGAAGAATGAGGACTTCCTGGACTATCCAAAATCTACGATAATTCTGTTTTTTTTCACGGATCTGCCTGACTGTTAATGCGAAATCATCCTAAGGATGCATACAAACTAGATTGGTAGCACCCTCACACATTATCTACATGCATGCTGCAAGACCTCTTGAATGGAAGCCTGAAACGAAATGCAAAATTTTGTCACAATTAGCTGCGTATTGTGACCAAGAGGGCCTACAGCTTTAGGCGGTAGGCTGACTTCCCAATCTGGTGCACAAATGAGTGGAGCAGAGTAATTATATTTGACAGACCTTCATAAATGAAGGGTGCCCATTATCTACACAATGCTCTCAGCTGCTAAACCCTCACAAGTGGAGTGAAACTTTCTACGCCAAAATGTTGCATTTTGTTGCGCATGCGCTCAAACTAAAAACCGTCCTAATCTACGTTCATATTTTTGCAGCTCACCAAATTTCACTGTTCACTGAAGCAACCATGCCTCTGGCTGAAAAGTCCCGCGTGATAGTGTCCCAGCATCGCTGAGACCTCGGGATGTCTAAATGGGGCTTAAAAGTTTGGACTGGTACTTTCAAGTCACTTGCCAGATTGCTTTAGCCCATTACGGACACGTCATAACTTTCGAAAGTTCGATTCCATTGTGCGAATACCGAGCGCCTAAATGAAGTGGATCAAAAGAAAAGTTCAAAAGTGACACCCTTTCGGTACACAGTTGCTACGCGGCCCCAAGAAACAAGGACTGAGCTAGTGCCAGGCTGCCTAGGTGAAAAAACGAGTCTCGTTCATGTAAAGCAGTCAATCCTACAGGGACTGAGCAAACTGTATTGTCCTCGTTGTCACAAACATGAATTCGATTGTACTGCTAGACATCGTGAGCGGATATCAGTAGAAACCATTAACACATAGACAAGTACCTTTGTTTTGGACTTTGAATCTGCCTCCGGTTGAATAGGCACCGAGGGTTTAGCATCTTCTAATCTAGGCTTCAAGGTGGCAGCTGTCGCCGTCTGGGATGTCGCAGCATGTAGAACACGCTGAGAACGCCGGAGACGCTCCACACCTAATTCACGGGCGATCAGCTGTTTTGTCATATGGGCGATTGACCGAAGGCCATTGGATAATCCTGAGAAGTCAGTGATGAAGTCCAGTGTACTGAAGCGGCGAGAAAATAACAGGCAGTACAGTAGTGGTAAAGAGCATACATAGGCCAGTTAGCACCGCGGAAATTGGAAAGGCCTGAGTAACCTGTGGCACAGTGTAAACGAAAATCTATGAAATGGAGATATTTCAGTGAACGGAAAGGCCATCTCGTTATCTATGGTCTAGTCATCTAGTGTTTGACTTGGATTACAGACACGCCCCAAGAACATAGCATGCCGACAATGGTTTTGAATTCGGGGTCCAACTGCGTCTAAAATGCTGACCAAGGAAGATGTCTCATACTTCGACTGATACAATCGTCTGCATACCAATTTCCTTTTCACGGGAGACTCACTTGGAACCCAGCTCAGTTTGCGCTGAGTTGTTTATTTCGTCTACCCAATGTGTCAATTTTGTTCGTCACCAACTTCAAACGTCCAACAAATAAACAACGCTAGAGTACACACGGTTGCTGAATGGGACAAGTTGCGTTAACGCCGTGAAAGTACTTTCTGAACCGATTGTTATTCACGAAGGTCTGGAAACCGAGGGTGTACGTCAAAGGAGCATTAGGCAAGGTTGGTCTATTTTGTGTTCCCGGTTGTAGATCGGCGAGCAGCTCTCAGCGGTGCTTGAAGAGTGTATGTCGTGGTGAATGGCGGGTTCTACCACAAGAATTGAAGTTTTTTTAGATTTGACTTTAAGTTTACGTTTAGTAGCCACCACTCATCTTTTCGCCCATTTTGATACCCGACGGTTCAACGTGCTTACAGATATACATGAACGCTGAAAATGAGTATTCAGATGTCATGGTGATTTCCCAACTACGAACTGATAAACTCGTGAAAAACATCGGCTAATGCACGATAATATAACACAGTGAAGTTGAGGAGCAAAACGCCATTTCACCACACCCCTATGACAAGCTGCGGACTGAATCCTCAGTACAAGTACCTTTATTAAATATACGAAAGACCATTGGAGAGACAGAAGGTGAAATTTTTTTTCATCTGAAGGCGTTATTTAGGGAAAACAGACCATATAAAGCAGGAACATCGGAGGTTATTCGAAGAATGTTGAACTTAACCAACAATCGAGTAGCTTTTCAGAAGGGAAAAACGCTACGTAGCGTTTTGGCGTAATTGAAAAACTGACAGAAGGTTCAAACGAAGTTCAAGAGGGACCATCAAATGAACCGAACCAGAAGAACTAGACCGTAGACTGGACCCAAACACATGTAGGTTTCTCCACCGACCTAACACTTGTTCAACCACTCTAACACACTAAAATCCCCCGGCCAACACCCAACAGAGATTTAGCTTGACTTAGCTGATTGGTTCTCGTTCCGCCTTAAATCCCGACCAACCTCGGAACCTAGTCACTTGGCCTGACGAAGCTTTTGTGTCAAAAGCGAAACGTTGCCCAGCAATAAATCTACCCCGATTGTCACCAAACTTACTCGAAAACAGACCATGGAACTCCAAGGAGTTACGGGATTGAGACAACACCAGTTTGACAATGCGTACTACTAAGGAAAGCTGAGTTAAAAACTACTGTATTTTAATGTGTCCTTTCATTAATATCAGACACGCAGAAAACACCCAGGAAAAATCAGAACATTGAAATCTCATGCTTCATGCAGCCGAGTCTTATCTTGGTGTATCCAGTTCCTCGTACTCGCCTTGTTCGTTTCTTCGAAACAGGTCATTCTGACCGGCCTTTTGTTTTCATCAAAAACAATGGTCTTTATTTTAGAGTAAACAAGCAAATTGGACTCACAATGTTAAAGCTCCCAAGCAACAATTAATTTACAATCACTTACGGTTCTAGCTGAAATTCCACTTCTCCTGTCTCGGAGTTCTGTTGCGGAGACCAGTCCAGCCCGAGACTCAGCATGATCTCCACAATGGACTTCAAAGTTGACTTCTCCTGTTGGCTGTACAACTGAGAATTTAGTGGACGCAAGCTGGATGAGCTAAGCGAAAGAATGGAAACCGCCAAGGGCGCAACATCGAGCAAGAAGACTCGACGTGGAGTGAATCTACAAAGGGGTAGAGAGGATATAAAGTTGAACCGATCAACTGTCACGTGGATTTTACAGATGAGGAACAGTATTCCGCTTTCTACGGATGACAACAGGAATCCCTAAAGCAAGATACGCGTTGTAGGTCATCTGGCAATTCAGTGCATGCTGGATACGACTGAGTTATATTGGAATCCTTACTTATCAAGCCTTAGTCAGTCGCGGCCAGCCGCGGAGATGCAACTCCTCATCTAGATGAAACGATTGAGACCCAATAGAACTTCATCCTCGTTTCAACCGGTGGCGAGGATTTCACAGCACCTACATGGACCGTCTGAACCGATTTCCAGGATTGATCGAAATTATGGTAACAATATACGTTGAGAGTCAAACAAAACCTTCACTTAGCAAAAGCGCACGGGGCTATTAGATGAGATTGAAGTTAGGGCCTTATCATGCGCCAATGTGAATTAGATTGGTACGATGTGGAATTCGTGTAACAGAACTAAACAGTTCCTGAAAGCAAAATCGACTTTTAGGTGAAATGTTAACTTGAGATTCTACCTGAAACTACTCGTAGTCAAGTGATCGGCAGAACCCGATTTCTCATAACTGGATGGCAAGGACCACTGGTTTGCGTGCAGCTGATCAAGAATCGCTATGCATTGGGTTTGAGTTGTATTTGCCTCGGTGTGAGCAGTGGGCCACCGGAGACCACCCGATTTCGTACCCCCGTTCAGCTGAGTAGGCAGGCCTGTTGGCGTGGCAAGTGCCAGATGGATCCATGCCGGTAGCCAGGTTGTGTAGCGCATCAAGCTGTAGTCGGCTCGTGACAAGATGTGAGTGAATAACCGGTCATGGAATACGAACCAATTGGCTGCTTGGCGGGCCTAAACAAACAAAAAAAAGTTGCGCTAGTTACATAGACGTACGGTTTTCGTGAAGAACAGAAGGGCGACGCCTAATTTAGATGAAGAGACCAAGGTTATGGTCAACGTCCAAAGATTTTATGATAGAATAGAAGAAACAGCTCATCCAAAACTAGAGCCGAGGCTTAGGAAAACCTGTGGTAGGTTGTTTCGGAGCTACTCCTGGGCGAGAGAGTCTTCTGGACACTGAGGCACTCTTCGTGGAGTTTGAGGAAGGAGGAACCAAGGAGAACTTCGAAGCAGCTAATTTAGGAAGGGTACCGATCCTTTGCTGTCAATAATAAGATCAACCATGACCAAGAGGGGGGCGAGATGGCTCAGTGGTTTGAGCGCGAATTTATTGACTGGAAGGTCCGTGGTTCGAATTCAACCGCATCATCTCGACTTCTCCTATCTATGCTTGGACAACCTGGCAGTATCCTAGCCCTCATACTTCCTTCGAGTGGCATGGCAGCTAGGTACCGAAAATGTGTTACAACTGAAGGATGAGGACCTACAGAGTAATGCATCCTACAAAATTGATATTAAAGTATAAGGAAGTATAAGGAATTGGAAAGCCAAAGTGATTATCGGTTGAATGCAGAAGATCAGGTACAAAGCTTCAAGGGAAGCATCTTTCGAAACTCACAAGCCAAATCAACCGGCCTAGCTAGGGGCAAAAAAAATATGACTGAAAAAGATAGATGGAAAACAACGTACCACATTCAAACTGGCATCCTTCATTCGACTATTCAAATAGTTTTCGAAAATTCCCATTGCGATCAGAGAGGCGTCACCAGCTGAATCAACAACTTCACAAACGTGCTGTATGCTGGGAATAAAAAAAGCTTACACTGATGAAGGAAATAACGCAAAAAAAAAACGTTTGCAAATACAATCTAGGGTCAAGGGGGGGTACTAACATTAGAGAATCAAGACTGATCGAGGTATACTCCGGTAGGGTGTGGTGAACAAGCGGCATTAATAATCAGACCACACAAACGCCAGGGACAATTGTTTGGTTCTTCTCATAAGCCATCTCTTCCGGGCATGTTGAATGTGCAGAGAATGCGATCGTCAAAAATGGATTTCAAACGAAATCAACCAAGTCCAACAGAAAATTCAGGAGCAATACAGGGCCGTTTTCTGCCTATTTACACTACCCCTACGGACGGCGCTATTGCTGATAGTAGGTACTGTTGAGTTCATGATGTTTATTAGATCATTTGATCACACAGAACCAGTTGTCAATACAGCATCTACTACCCTCATCCGTCTGCTCTTACTGCCCGGTATCAAGTGAATATCAACTCCGTAAGAACCTAAGCTACCCGGATCTTGCAATGCTTCTCTTTGGAAGTAAACATGCTGTATCAACGGTCACATCAAAATCTCGTCTAAGGTAGCGAAAGATCACTATAAGATTGGGATTTAAGGAGCTGGCTTGCTCAGGAATTGTAAGTGGTTCGATGGGCCCACAGAGAAAGTAAACGGTAAACGGCAAAAATGTAAAGGGAATGCATGCATACATCAAGCTTGATTACGTGGCCGAGGGGAGAACGCCCATTGCACACTATGGACTCTCGACTAGGGAATTTTCCGCCTTGGAACAATGAGACTAATATTACGTTTTTTCCAACAGAATAACAGTCTTGCGGCACCAAATTATGACGGTTCGAAATTTGGAAAAACCTATGTAAGGCTGACTGTAATGCTGTGGTAGAACGGCGAGGAAATACCATCATTTGTTGCTTGGAAGCCCGAACTGGCATCCATTGAAGCGACAACTACTAATTAATAGTAAACCAATTTATTGGTCGGTAACAGCTGTACGATTCTTGTGTACGCTTTCTCATTGGTGGGAAAATTAGGTTTTCATAGCTTTGTACGACAGCCTTTGTCCTGGGAGACCGAATAAGCAGTAGCGCGAACAAACAAATGCCCTGAATGATCCGGAATTGCGGGAAAAAATGCATTGTATTGATAAACGGTTTGGCAGTTTTGAAGAGGGAGCATTGTAACCTAATAGTAAACCTTTTGCCACCGGTTTGGCCCACTAAGTTCCGTGTATCATTCATTCGTACGGTACGATTAAAGTGAATCGCGGATTGCAGTTTGTGGCAAACTTTTGCCAAGACTCGAGACTGTGATGTGTACAATCAAGATTCCATTGGCACCACTACTAAAGCAAACTAAGAAGAATCGCGAGATTTGCTGTAACTGAATAAAATGCCTTTGAATTCCGGAAAAAAGTGACGAGTTTGTCTTTCTGGTGGCGATGTTGCGGAGTTTAGTTAGCTAGGATGCACTGCCGTTCACCAAGCTCGGCAAACAGATCAACAACCAGTGGTCGTTCTAATGCTAGGCAGATTGGGAACACGCTCGAATCGACTTAAGAATCTAGGACAAGGAAACCCAGACAAATCTGAGGAAAATTATATGAATGGGACCGAAAGTTTTATGCTGATAACCTAAGGGGGAAAGAACAGCTGCTCATGAGTAGGTAGAACAAATGGGTGCGAAAACTCAACCTCTGGTCCATGCAGCGTTGGGCAAAGGAGTACTAAAAGAAGTGAAAAGTGCTAATTCACATAGTGTCTTCCAGAGATTTACAAACTACCAAAAATACCTAATCTGTTTAGCTTCAATCGATGGTTCAATGTGAGAGCTGACAGCTGGGCGGCACTGCCATTGATGGAATGACTAATCGGGACGTGAGTTTCTTAACCAGTGAGACAGATTACACATTAGTAACGATAAACTATCGCCAATACGAGGAGACGAACTATCAAGCTGGATTGTTTATTTTGTGGACGTTGGGCCTGTACTACACCTGCGGTGAGGTTCACAGACAGGAGTGGGAAAAGAACATCATAAGCACATACCGATTTCGGGTTGAACATCCGAAGTGACGGTAATCACCTGGCGAATCCCTGGGGAATTTTCTTGTGAGCCACCAGTTGTGTGAAAACTGGGATGCTGTGACCAGGCGGGAGTAGAATTAGTGCTATCAACAAAGCTTTTGGGTTAGTATTCTAACTGCAACGCATCAGGAATGGTTGCAGGGGTCCAGAATATTGCACTTAATCGTTAGAAGGGAGGAAGCCAGGATTCGTGTTCTAATTTCAAATGTGAAGTGGTAAATCGTGCCCTTTGGACTTTCAACCGTTTACAAAGCAGGCCGTGGGTGTTGCATGAGTACTATGTCTCACCGTCCGTATTCCGATGATACACACTGTCTTGGAAACAACCTCTGGAACGAAATAGTGGATGAACGTTGCGGTATTCCATGTTTCCGCCCGCCCTAGAGTGAATTAGGGTTCTAAAAGTCTACACACTCAGTTGAACAATATAGTTGAAGTTGGTCAGATCCAATTTGTACAATATGCCTCCGATGACAGATCCAGACAAGCCCACGAGTAGGAGCTCGGGGGGCGAGATGGACCAAGTGGTTAGAGCGCGAATTTACTGACCGGAAGTTCCGTGGATCGAACCCGACCTCTCGACTTCCCCTGACAAGGCTTGGGCGACCTGGCAGTATCCCAGTCCTCGTGCGTCCTTCGGGCGGCATGGCAGCTAGGCACCGAAAGGGTGCTACAACTGAACGATTATTACTGTTTATTATTATAAGTAGAGGCTGGAACAGCATTGCAGCTCTCCTGTTCCAACTGTTATTGGATCATAGAAAAAGTAGTACTTGCGAGCATTAGACATGTAAGAAAAGCGGTGATGGATTTACCGGGCTGCAATAGTTGTTTCACTGTCATAGTTGGCACGAGTTTTCGGTTGTTGTTGTTGTTGCGTACTGACACCATTGTGATGTGGGTATGCCCCGCTGAGGATTCGACTTCGGCTTTCAATCCGACTGGCCAGCAACCTGGCTGAAGGGATGGTGAAAACAGCCTTCCAAACATCAAACAAACTGCGCTGCACATCCTTGAAACCACCACCAAAGCCGATAAGGGTGAACAAGTCTTCTGCAGATAGGTTTTTGTTTGCCTTGTTGCCACACTCCGAACCAAGGTGCGCTCTGAGAAACTGCGGATGGATAAAGAAATATTCGAAGTAGGGAAGCGGTAGGAATGCGAGAGACAACTCTATTTATGACGCAGTGTTAACACTTCAGAACGACACAGCTGCGTGAAGCAAACCTAAAACCATGATCTTAAGGAATCGGTTTGGAAAGAATCAAAGCCAAGGTGTAAGATGTCTTGTGGATGAACATTTCGACCGTAGTTCAGTAGTTACTTTCGCGATGTTAGATGAAATGAGTAAACGGCAGTTAGCCTAGCAATGTAAAACGACGTTACGTGTGGTGATATTCGGATAACAATTCTTTTAGGCTTGCTTGTACTGGGGTAACTTTAATTTGCACAGAAACTACAAACAACTCGTAATTCTCAACATCTATCATAAATTCGTAGCAGTATAAAGGACTGTTACAGCGTATGGAAATTCGATAAAGTGAAGTAGATGGTCATTGGTTGTTCTATGAGCTGGGCAATTTGATTCCGAACGTTTCACCAACAGTCGAGGAGACATCATCTGTGCGTTGTTAGGGAGCGTGGTGGAGCGCAGTGATGGGTCGGTGTTTGTGCTGGACTTCAGTTACATTGGTCCGGGTCCAGTGGACAGAGCATTCACAACAGCAGAAACGAGAGTAGTAAAGGACTTTACAACGGACGTATTAGTAAAGCATGGGACACCCACTGCGACTTTTGCTGTCTGAAAAACTGTCGTCAACCCCAATGTGTAGGACTGTGCATGAACATGGGTGGGCATGAGCAGAGCAGTGCTGTGGGATACCAAAATACGGTCAACAAGCTGAAAAAGCATTAAGCTACAAACCGCTGTCCCAGCTGGCATTAATTTATTCGAGTCTTTCATTTCAAAAATTGAAAAACATCAGGATAATAGGAATGAAAACCAAACACAGGAAACACTAACCTGCAGTGCATTTAGGCACGCTCTGATGTCCCTTTCAGCAATTTCGGCCAGTTGGGTTAACACCATCTTCTCCACCATCAAACCTTCTTTCCGACAAATGGTTTCCAGTCGCGTAATCAGCCGCCCCAGGTCTACATTTGGCAGACGTATCACTAAACAGGGCACACCAGGAGCACGGAGTGGCCGGACCGCGGGAGAGAAGCTGTGGAAAACACATGGTGTTGAACTACTGTCAGAAGAACTCATACCAACTTTGAGCAGTTAGATGAATGAGCTTCTAAGTCAGACTTCGCCGAAAAAGTACAGAACAGCTGCCGAGGATTTTCAAAAATGAAAAACTGATTGAAGTCGAAATAACAGCGTTTGACGTACTGCGTGAACAATCCGGTTGTGTACCACAGGCGAATGAGCAACAATTTCACTCAAACAGGATGTACTGGCATACTTCGACACTAAGTTGAGCATGCTGCAATCCTCTTTCTGGATATATATATATATATATATATATATACATATATATAACTGAGTCAGAGTCCAATAAAGACTACGAACCTNATATATATAACTGAGTCAGAGTCCAATAAAAGACTACGAACTCAAGCACTAGTAGGCTCTTTCATCATCGTACCAAACTTTACCGTGTTTGATCAGAACGCCCGAGAAACTGAAGAAAATCATATGTTCCACGTAGTATTTGGTACACCAGATTTCAGTCACATTTCAACCTATTCAGTGAATTTGAAACAAGTGTTTCTTTGAGCGCATTTAAGTTTTAATATTATAAAAATACGGTGGAGGCTTACCGGGAAATATGATATGGTGGGACGAGTTAGCGTAGCAAAATCGTTTCCGAACATAACTCACAAGGCAGAAAAACAAGTCTAGCACATCTACGTAGCTGACAGCCTTTAGGAACGAATTCGAAAAGCAAAATTTTCCCGCTTTCCAGGTTTAACCGTTGACTAATCGCCTGAATCATCTTTGCTCAGAACCCTCAGATCATCCGTCCAGACGAGGCCAACTGTATACGCAATCTGCTTGTAGGGGAGGATATTAAACAGACCGATGTGGGTCATTTGCGCCAAGAAAAAAAATGCAGAACACTTAGGAAATCAACTAATTCTCAAATAGTTCACCGAAAGAAAATAGAATAAAATTTTCAGACAAGTGGCCAAGAACTGAAGAAGAAGTCTGAGTCAGGAAGCATAACTCACAGATCATTGCAAATGCATATAACCGGACGACGAAGCACCAGCGGAGTGGTATTTCGCTTGCCACGGGCACGTCGCTCAGCTCCGGCAGGTGGAAGCACTGCCCGAGCAGCTGTTGCCAGTAATTCTACTGCGGCCGGAACAGCACCGTCGATTTCGTCTAAAATTAAGCAGCACGGCTTGTAGCACCCAGTTCCGGAGTCACTTGGAGCGGTAGTATTTAAACTAGTGGAACTGGACACGATTGCAGTTAGTTGGTCTTTGAAGACTGAGACGGTGCGATCATCGCTGAAACAAGGGTGATGAAAAAGACGAATTCGAGCTGAACTCGTAGCACTTGAACGAAGAAAAGTGGGTGAGCTAATGAGGTTCCAGATTGAGGAACTAAGATAAATTTTGGGCTTTTGTGATGTTCAGATCTAAAAACAATTACAGACCCAAAATGATTAAGGTGGGCACAACGCAGACCAATATAATGAGACCCAATGAGAATGGATGACTAACCGTTTCCGGGACCATGGAAGCTTCTATTTGGTTTTACGGAGGTTGGTTGGATATTTTTTAGTCCAAGGCTGGGAAAATGGAGCATCTGTTTAAAACACGGTGTTGCCCGCATCACATTTAAGAGTTGACAGTTCGGAGGAAAAAAGGTTCCAGAGCTTTCTTCTATTGTAAGACCCAAATAAACACAAACACCCCGCTCCGCTTAAAAATGAGGCCGTAAAAGTCAGCAGATTTGTCGCCTATGGAGTTTGTGATCCACACATCACCTTGATTAACTTGTGTGCCATGGTTTCGACTAAGGTTTGTGTTCGCTAGCTGGGAACGAGAAAGACCAAAGGTTAAGTAATCTAGGAAGCAAGACAGCCCCATAAGTTTACACACCTGGCATTCATCTCAATCACCTGGTAACCGGCATGTTGTGCCAGCAAATGTGCCAGTGTAGTTTTTCCCAGTCCAGGACAGCCGGCAAGAAGAACAACTCTATAACGAGGAAGCCCATCTCTTGGATCGATTTCACCCGCCATTCTTTCCAAATCGACCCATGCACGTGAAGACGCCGCGAAGGAACCAACTGGCGTAGCAGCTGAACTAGCAGTAGTTGCGCTCTGTGTTTTGGCCAGTACGTGTTCGGCGCCAAAAACGTATGGGTCCCATGCTTTGAGCCATCGCAAAAGAGTCCGGTTGGTCGTCTTGGAATGATAGAAATGAAATGAATCTAAATTGTGCTGCAAGTGATAAGTGCTATTTGCAGAGCGGAGGATACACAGGCAATTTTCGACACTTGACTGCACCAATAAAGTCACCCAATCACATACCTCATCAGAAATAAGATCAATATAATGCCCTGGAGCATGTCTTTTAGTCCATAATTCGGACACAGCAGTATCAATGTGATCTCGGGGTTGTTCCTCTGGATTTGAATAATGAGCAGTCTGGCGTAACCGCAACTAAGGATAAGCAATAAGGGGGGAATTGAAAAGCATACCAAACGCTCAGCTTCTTCAACAAGCCCAACAGGCTGAAATTTGAAATCACGGGTTGGGACAGTCGATTCATCTTCCTCTATGGTCAGGTAGTACCTTGTTCCGTTCTGGAATGTGACAGAGGTGTAATCCCCGGAGAGGGGGATCCGCTTATACAAAGTTGAAGAATTTCTGCGCTGATCTTGAAGCGGCTGAGAACAAATCAGTGAGTTAGGGTTATCAACCAGCTGGCTAGTGACAGGATCCATCGTAATTCTTGGGCGTTTTGGAGGCAAGGGTTGTAAGGTGATATCGCTTTCAATGAGTTGTCGTTTTGGCAAGCTTCCCTCTGTATCGAGTAGGACAGGTGGAACATTTTCCGTATCCTCAATACCAATCTCCCGTTCAATATCAAGAAGCTGATCAAGATCAACGTCACCGAAATCCGACATAATGAAAAAGTTCCAGATCCTGAAAGTTAGATATGGCAACATCTAGTTAACAATAGACCACAAGGTGTGGTGATTGAATTTACCGAAGTAGCTTATTCGCACTTTCATAAATATTCGTGTCCGACCTGAGCATTGTAAAAAAATTAGAAAATCGCTCAGCTGTGGGACTCTTTCGGTGCCCAAATGTAATGCCACCAGAAGGAAGCACGAGGGCTGGGATACTTCCAGGTTACCCAAGCCTAGACAGGGGAAGTTGAGAGGCAGAGATGGAGTTCGAACCACGGACCTTCCGATTATTAAATTCGCGCTCTAACCACTCAGCCATCTCGTACCCGAAGGATGTGACGAAGCTAGCGACGCAATAACCGTTGTCCCACGTGAGTTTCGCCAGGATCATTTGGCGTACATCAGTGTTTTTATTCCTAAGTTGCAGGTGAAGGCTCAGAGACAGCAAAGTTCACGTACAGAGACCTATTGCACCAATCTCACGCACACAGATATTCCTGACCAATGTAACTGTATCGAATGCACCGCAGCGTTATATGACAGTCAGTGGAAGACAAGCTACGCCGAATCTAGCAAACACACAGGTTAGTTCTGACGGGAACTTTGAATTCCAACTAGGCTTCAACCAGTTCAGTATTTGTGGGTCCTTCCGTTTGATTCGTTCGAAAGGTCCGTGTAATCCTGTCGTCAGTATAACTCGACTGACTCTGTAGTGCCAAGCAAAGGACATTTTGGTCGTTGAGCAGAATACTTCCAGCAACAATCCAGTTGTGCATCTGCTATTTCCAATCCGGGTTGTCGTCCACTGACAAGAAGACGGACTGAGAAGCGTCCCAGAGTATATCCCCACTGGAACGTCATTGCGCTGGTGCTCTGTTAAAGGATGGCGGTGAATTCCAAAGTCAGTGCCTGGCGGACTTATTTGCATCTACCTGGGGAGAACAGATCCGCTGAAACAACCGCGGTGAGACGATGACTGTGCCTGGCTGTGGATGTTGCGAGAGTTAGTTGCTGGCGTTCGTACCGTCGGTTTTTTTTTCATATTGTCCAATTGAGCGTTTGAATGTGTAGATTTGAGATAGCTCAGTCCTTAAGGAGCGAATTTACTGACCGGGGAGTCCGCAGTTCAAACCCAACAGTGACCACTCGACTTTGGAGACCTAGAAACATTTTAGCCCTCGTACTTCCCTCGGGTGGCATGACAGCTAGGAACCGGAAGGGTGTTGCAGCTGAACGCTTACCTCTACCTAACCATGCCTTCGTGAGGCTATCACCAGATTCCACTCCCACCCAGTTTCCTTACTTTAAAGTACTAGATATAAGTACGCCCATGGTTGTACGGCAGTGAATCATCAGTGCCAATACTGACGTCGTCCTTGATGATGACCGTGGTGACTGGATAGGACATGAGATTTTACATTTCCTACTTACCATAGCTGTTGTTGTACAGCCCTGTGCCCAACGGGTGGTGAACGGTCTATGGCCAGGAAGCGGGAGTACGAAAGACTTAACCGGTAAATTCAGTTGGGTTGAAAACAACTACCTTGAAGGGGGACGCCTGGATTCGACTCGTCAACGCTTCACGATAATGACTGTACCACGCAGTCAGCGGGTAACTTGCATCAAAGACAGCTCCTTCAATCAGTAATTAACGTTTCTCAACCAGAATCATTGTACTACCAAGTGGCCTGGGAGTGCTACACCCTTCCTAGTCTCCCATTTTTGGTGACTGGATCTATTGTCTTTGGCAAATGGTTTACATCTGATAAAATGAACTAAACTTAGTCTGGGGATGTTTTCCTTAAAGTGTCGTACTGGTCAGGTTAAGAAGTGAGCAGTATGGGTAGTGCTGTAGCAACAAACCAGTACGTAGAATAATGCCTCTGTGTAGCTTTCTGATTGCAGCAGAGCATTCTAACATTTTAATTCATCGAACACAAACTATAAAAGACCTGCGTGAGCAAGAGAACGCAAAGGTTACTAGCACGACCAGGGACTTTTTAGGGGACCGGAATCACATAAGGACTATATCGCCACTGAGGTCGTGGCATTCAAACAGTCCACACAAACCATAGGAAAAGATCGAATATAAGAGTGTAGCCAGCTGAGTGGGAGGAGGGGAAGCACCCTCGTAGTGGCAAGCACTGGAGTTGCTTTCGGTATTCACCTACACAGCATCTACGTGTTTCTCCTGAAGGAACACAGACAGCATCGTTAAACAAGTTCTGGTAGATACTGACCCGAACAGCGTGCGTTGGTGGAATAGCTTCAACGGGTTGACGGGTAAGGTATGTTTTGGACAGGTAGGCAGCTATGGAGAGCAGGAAGGGTAGTCCTTTCCAGGTTCAGTGCACACCAGGACAGTAAGGGGAAGCGAAAAGTCAGGCTCGAATATGGTCGGAGTGATTTCACCACATAAACCCATGGGCTGACATCCAACTGATAGCAGAATAAATCATGTTGAAAAATCAGGAAGAGTATCGTGGCGGGAAGCTTATCTTGATCACTGACGACGATAGTCATTAATGCCAAAGCCTGCACCTTGAAGTTTCCAGGAGCACACGGACACCGGCGATCCCAGTTGGTCATTAGTAGATGTGTGCGTAAAGAATGCAGAAAAAGTCCCCTTTCAAGATCATCCTCTAGAGACCAACCATAAGCTAGGGAAGTTATTTTCATAAAGGAAACCACCCATTATGTTGCTGGAAACTCTTCGGCAGCCCACGACCCATTTCGCCCCTCTTGAGACTCACCAGGTAGGAAGACTCCCCGAGTTTCGGTCAACCTTATGTTCATTCGAGTCTCCCGTGGAAACCCCGTTAAAATACAAGTGAGTGCATCTGTCGAGTTGAAAAAAGCATCTTCACTTGAGGGAGACGAAGTTCATAATTCAAGCCGCGAAGATTTAGGCGGACTTAGAAGACTGGTGCTATTACCATAACCTCACAAGGAATCTCTCGTAGTTTCTTGTCACATAAACTGTGTCCACACAATAAATACCTCATTTACGACTGTAAAGTTACAAATCGCGTTGATGGCGCTTTAGGTATAACTGATTTATGTCGGCAACAAGCACATCGCTTGCATGCTTAAATGCATTCACGGATTCACGGATTGATACACAGGATCGAGGCTTTCGCCCGGGTCAGTTTTGTTCTTGACGTTCAGCGGCTGTCATGCATTGGCAGCTGTAATAACCGCGTACTCGTCGTACTGTGGTTGTAGCTGCCGCAGTTTCGTTCGCCGATGGTTTGGAGGGGGGTAGGTAGCTGCGCGTTGCAGGCGGGAGCTGATAAATTGGGGAATAGATCCAGCACTGTCAGTGGGCTGTCAAGTGGTGAGGGGGTTGGAAAAGAAGCTATGCATTGAAGGCAATAGCTTGGATGCACGAGCGCCACTGAGAGCGCGACTGGGCCATGTCTGATAATGTCTCTAGCCCATCTCGGGGCCCCATCCAGGAAGACGGCAATGACCAGCGCAGCTAAGTTTGCTGGTAATGGCTTTCATACTTCGCTGCCAAGTCATTGGTTGACCGCCTCTGACTCTCTTTCACCCTTCACGTGGTTGTGCGAAAAGAGCCCTTCGGGGAAGTCGGTCGACTGGCATACGCAACACGTGGCCAAGCAAGCGCAACCTATGCAGTGTGATCAGTTCATCTATCGAGGGTGAGTTATTTCTCCCGAATACCATTCGACGTACTTCAGAATT